TAACACAGATTATGGTATCTGGACCTGGGATTCTGCTGTAAGAAGTTCCTAACAATGTGGACTGGTGTGGAAACCAGCTGGTGGTCAAGAGACTCAACAATTGTTGAAGGACCTCACAGAGAAAGCTTAGATTTCCTTGTAAAGATTGAAAGTAAAAACCTAAACTTAGAGTAACCTGCTGGGGAGAGCTCAAAAGGAGATGAGGAATGGATTATTGAAAATTTCCCCAACCTGATAAAGGCATGACTGAAAAAACAACAAGTAACAATCATACATAATGGTGAAAGTCTCAGTGCTTTCTCCCTAAGTTGGGAAAAAGGCAATGTCTCTTTTAACCTCTTCTATTCAGCATTGTACAGGAGGTCCTGTCCAAGACAATAAAGAAAGAAAAGGAAATAAATAAAAGACACACAGATTGAAATGATGAAAAAAAAAAACCAACACCCCAAACCTGTCGACATTCACAGGTGACATGATAGTCTACATAGGAAATCACCCCAAATCTAAAAAAAATCTACTAAAATTAGTGAATTTAGTGAGATTGCAGAATGTAGGGTCTATAAAGAAAAACTGGTTATATTTCTATATACTAACAATAAAACAAAAAACATGAAATATTTGGAATAATTTGAATCATATAGAAGATTCATATGTTGAAATCTACAAGGCATTGATAAAAGAAATTTTATTTTTAAATTTTTATTATTATTATTTTTTTAAAGATTTCTACTTATTTAGTTGACAGAGAGAGAGCATAAGTAAGCAGAGCAGTAGGCAGAGAAAGAGGAAGAAGCAGGCTCCCCACCAAGCAGAGAGCTGGAACAGAGAGCCTGACCTGAGGCTCAAACCCAGGACCCCAGGATCACGACCCAAGCTGAAGGCAGATGCCTAACCTACAGAGCCACGCAGACACCCTGATAAAAGAAATTTTAAAATATCCAAGTAACTATAGAGATATACTATTCTCAGGAATAGGACTATTCAATATTTTTGAGATGTTAATTCTGCTCAAATTGATTTATAGATTCAATATAATTTCTACTAAAATTCCAGAAGGATTTGTTATTTTTGTAGATATTAGAAAGCTGATTAAAAAATTTATATGAAAAAGCAAAAGGTATGGATAGCCCAGGTAATTTTGATAAAGAAGAATAAAGTGCAAGGACTCACACTCCTTAATTGTATGAATTACCATAAAGCTATAGTAATATAGTAATAGTAGACAGTATGGAACTGATATAAGAACAGGCATATTGATTAATGTACAAAATGGGCAATTAAGTAATGGATCCAAACACATGTGATCAATTGATTAACAAAAAACAGTACTCGGTGGGGTGCCTGGGTGGCTCGGTGGGTTAAAGCCTCTGCCTTCAGCTCAGGTCATGATCCCAGGGTCCTAGGATCAAGCCCCACATGGGGCTCTCTGCTTGGCAGGGAGCCTGCTTCCCCTTCTCTCTCTGCCTGCTTCTCTGCCTACTTGTGATCTCTGTCTGTCAAATAAACAAATAAATCTTTAAAAAAGAAACAACAACAACAGTCCTCGGGTCATTTTATGAAGAAAGGATAATTTTTTCAACAAAAGGTAGTGGAATAAATGGATAACCATATGCAAATAAACAAGCTAGCAAACACGCCGGGGGAGAGGCGGAGAAGAGAAGAACCAGTTTACTCTGGGCTGAGGACTGAGCCTGATGCAGGGCTTGATCCCACCACCCTGAGATCATTACCTGAGCCGAAATCAAGAACCTGATGCTCAACAGACTGAGCCACCAAGGCACCTCTAAAAATTAGCTTTAAATAGATCATAGACCTAAGTGTAAAACCTAAGTTCCAGAGGAAAGCATAGAGAAAAATCTTTAAGACTATGATAGCAAAGATCACTTATACAGGAAGAAGAAGCATAAACCAATATAATAATTTATGAATAGCTCTTCATCAGAATTAAAATCTTCCTTTTGGAAGTTACTGTTTTAAAAATGAGAAGATAAGTCAGAGAATAGGAGTAATTATTTGCATACAAATAAAGGACATTTAGCCAGAATATATAAAGAATTTTTTTTAAGATTATTTATTTATTTGTGAGAGACAGAACACAAACAGGGAGGAGGGAAGAGGGGAAGGGAGAAGCAGATTCCCCCACTGATCAGGGAGTCCAGTTGGGGGCTCAATTCACTGGATCCCAGGACCCTGGGATCATGATCTGAGCTGAAGGGCAGAGGCTTAACCAACTGAGCCACCCAGGCACCCCTAAAACTCTTATAATTCAATAATAATAAGATAAAATAATAAAAATGAACAAGAGATGCGGGCACCTGGGTGGTGCAGCTGGTTAGGCATCTGAGTCTTGTTCCCTTTCAGGTCGTGATCTTGGAGGCATGAGATGAGCCCTGTGTCAGGCTCCTTGTTGAGCATGGAGTCTGCTTGAGACCCTCCCTCTTCTTTTGCCCCTCCCTCTGGGTGTACACACTCTCTAAAATAAATAAATAAATTAAAAAAAAATGAAAACGAGACTTGAACTTTTACTGAAGAAACAATAAAAATTGTAAATAAATACATGAAAATGAAAACATGTTACCTGGATATTAAAGATGTAAATTAAAACCACAGTGAAATGCCACAGTGAGGTACAACAGCTGCTAGTGTGGGTAAAAATAGAAAACAACAACAACAACAAAAACAACAGAAACCTGATAGCACCAAATTCTTTTTTTCTTTTTTAAGATTTTATTTATTCATTTGACAGAGAGCACAAGCAAGGGGAACAACAGAGGGAGTAGAAGAAGTAGACTTCCCAATGAACAGGGAACCAGAATTGGGGCTCAATCTCAGGACCCCGGGATCACAACCTGAGTCGAAGGCAGACCCTGAACCAACTGAACCACCCAAGTCCCCTGATAGTACCAAATTCTGACAAAGATGAGGAACAACAGAAACTCTAATAAATTGCTGATGGGAAAGACAATGGGACAGCTGTTTTTGAATAGGGTTTGGAAATTTCTTATAAGGTTAGACATATACACACCGTACTACCCAGTATACCACTCCTAGGGGTTTACCCAATAGAAAACATATGCTGACACAAACATCCTAAATGTCTATCAATTGATGAATAGATAAATAACTTATGGTATTTCCATACAATGGAATATTACCTAGCAATAAAAAGGAACGTAATACCACTTCTTGAACCAATGTGGATAAATCTCAAAATCATTGTGTTAAGTAAAAGAAGTCAGACACAACAGTATGATATTATTTATATGACATTTGGAAAAGACAAAATCATAGAAATCAGAGAAATGGATGATTGAGCTGAGGGAACTTTTCGGGGAGATGGAAATAGTCTCTATCTTATTATAGTTGTGGTGCACAACTGTATACATTTATCAAAATTCACTAAGCCATATAGGTAAAAGGTAAATTTTACTATATATGAATTATATCTTAAAAAACCTTTAAAATTAGTATACAACTTAAATTGACTTTTGTGTAATTTTTTATGAATTCCCAAACTACTTAATCCTTTTAGTGTCAGAAATTTTTTAATGAAACAAGTCATATTCATCTTTTAAAAAACCAAATGTATGGAAGGAATTCAGAGATACAGCCAATAAAACTATAGTTTTGAAAAACAATTCATTATCTGACCTGGACTATGACTTAAGTCAAGCATATAGCTGTGGTCTTTATGTGAAAAGCTAGCGATGTCTATTTGTTGAGAGCACTCCATTCTAGATTAAGAGTTTTGGAAAATTCTTTTCACAATTTTTTTTCTCTTCAATAATCTACTTTTGAGGTAGAAAATTTGTTCCCTTTCAAACACATTTTATTTCTTGATATTCCACACTTTCTACCAAAGGCCATAAGTTATTTTACAAACAATTCACCATAAAGATCTCCATCTAAACTTTTATCTCCTCTTATAATCTGTTCCTAGTCTCATCTACAGCCTCTTCTCATGACCCTTAAAGAAACCATCCTCATTACTCCCTCTTCTCAACTATATTGATGAAAAAATTCCCCTTCAAACTCCCTTTGATAAACTTCCTTTGTTCTTCTAAGACACTACTCATTAGATGCCTTTCCAGTGGGCTTCAGTTTCTCCCAGTCTCCCCAATTTAATATAAACCGATGACCTAAGTTTTTTCTCAAATCCTACTGTCAGTTTTTGTATAATTATAATGTCAGTCTTACTGAGACTCATTATCTGCATCCCAATACCACTGATTTGTTTCAGCCTTTCCTAGATATTGCTGCTGTCCTTCCAGGTTTTATGTTCACTGCTATTGTTAAGTGAATTTAACTTTCAAATTCATGACTTTGCCATTCACTCTGTTTTTTCTTGACCTATTTGATTGCACAGCGCGCACTATGCCTATGACATAACCATAATTTACCAACATTGATTGATACATGTTGGGTCTCATCTTCCCATCCCATTTCTCTACTAACAGATCGTAAGCCACAAATGCCCCATTTCTGATCATAGTATCTTTACCATCCAAGTCACCATTCTGTTATCCTCATAGAACTGTCTTTTTGCTCTTCCCTGAACACAAATAGTCTCTTTTTCTAGTCATAATTCATTTTTCAGCTAGAATTATGATCAGCTATTTTCATGCACTCATCAATATCTCAAACTCTTGTACTCTCTTGAACTTTCATTAGATCCTTGATGTTAATTTTCCACCGTGATCATAACTAATAACAGTTTCTTTCAGTGCTCTTTCATGGAATATTGCCTGAGAGCCAAAGAATGATGACATAGTTTACTTCAAAGCAATGAAATTCTGTGCCAATTAGGCCTTCATCACTATTCAGCAGTGCTTTTAATCATCTTTTGTTAAACTATTTTGATTATTTTCCTCATCATTCTATTAAATTGAATTTTAAATGAACCATTTAAAATTCATTTATTAGGTGAAGTTCCTTTATCTGTGTACATTATTATCCAATGGAAACATAAATACAAGTAAAATATAAACACTCATACTCACTTAGAAATGGGATTGACACTGGCTTCAATAATTGTTAAACACTTACAACACTTAATGTTTTCTGGAAATTCTTGTACACCTAAAATGTAAAGAAAAAAAAAAAAGCACGTGAAAATGTCCCAGCAAAAATTCTTTAAGCTATAGTTCTAATATTAAGAACAATTAATCAAAGCTATGAACACAGTATAGATATAATATCAATACACCTTTAGGATAATCATTTACATAAGCATAATAATGTAATAATATATTAGTGTTACGTAATATATACACTTTAAATATACACTTTAAAATAAATTTTAATTTAAATAGTATTTTATCACAGTAATAAGAAATTGGATATAAAATTGAAGACAATTATATATTAGGCATGAGATGGATCTTGGCTCTCCACAAATTTAAAGCAATAAAAATAAGTATTTGGTCAGTAAGTGCTGCTACTAGGGGAAGGGGCTATCAGATATAAAGAAAACGGAAGATAAATTTTTTCTTTTATTTTATAAGATAGGAAGATTGAACACATATGTGTGAAAAATATCTAAGGATATATCACAAAACCTAGATTCCCAAATTACTGCGGGTCTCTAACAAATTTTACGCAAGTCTTCCTTGTTGGCTGCACAGAGTGTGCCTGAAAAGTGAAGAGGTGAGCAGCTCATCCTTGGGTCCTCTCTGGAGTGTCTGAGATAACCAGCCTGGCTCAGCGCCCTTGGAGAACTGCTCATCTGCTGTCAAAGTTGTGCTGTAGGCTATGTGATAGAAAAACATAGGTCTTTCTACAAAACTGAAAATCAGCAAGCCACAAACCTAGCCCATAAATGTGAGGGTCAGAGAAATAAAAGAAATAAGAGAAATAAAAAAAGAAATAAAAAAGAAATAAAAAAATAAAAGAAATAAAAAATAAAAGGATATTCCAATTGATATAGGTGAATCAAATACAGTAGGCCCTATAAAAGAAAAGAAGGCAGAAATATGAAGCTATTCTTATATGCCTGCAGTACTACGTGCTCTAAATTTTCGAAATGATTATTAAGGGTGTAAAAAATTTCCATAAAGTACTAGTCCTATTCACTGCTTCATATTTGACAAAAAGATAAGGAACATTTTGCAGTAGGTTTTTGTGGAATGTTTTAATGATAGATACACAAGAAAGAAAACCCTCCCATTGACCTAGACAACCATGTCCACAAAACCTTGAAGTGCAGTAAAGCAGCAGGAGGATAGTCAAACCAAGGCGGGTCACTTACCCACTGCAAATGACAGATATAAAAGATTACATGGGGATGTTTCTCATGCTTTTTCTCCCTACATGAAATTTCATCAGAAGCTATGCTGTCCTAAAGTTATTGCTGAAGTATTTCAGCTTCTTAATAAGAACTGCAGGATGTGTAAAAGTTGCATTATGTACCAATTGAATGGGAAAGCCACTTTTCTTTTTTAGAAAGACCATAATACCTAGAGATGCCCTCATTAACTCGACTTTAACAAAATGGCAAAGAAGTCAATAATTCAATCCTTGAGATGTCCTCAACATTTTCCTTGAGTATTTATATTTACTTTAGATATCAGCAACTAAGAGGGGAATAAGACTTCATTTACCCTTTAGCTTTTGCTGTTTGGTCACCAATTTGTGCTCATTGCATACTGGAGAACCTGGTGCCTTATCTCTACAGGTGCTTTCCTTGGGATGAATTTTCTTTAAATGATGTGTAAACCAAGACATGAAAATAGAAGAAAATTTAAAAATGATTTTAAGAAAAACACTGTAATTCTTTATCTTCTACTGAAAATGGAATTCCCTGTTGTGGTGAAAATACTACTAAATTACTTGTTTAAAAACTTTTATTAGTTGTTTGCGGTTCCAACTTAAAGTTTTTCAAAGAAGATTCTATTGAATTAGGGTAGAATCCCAACTTCACACTTACTGGCTTGGTAATCTAATGCAAGTCATTTAAATGTTGAATGTCTTAGTTTCCTACTTTGAAAGTTGGTGATTATACAAATGGTTTCAAAGAGAGTTGTGATGAGAACAGAGAGATAAAGCAGATTAAGTAATTGGCACAAAGTGTTTCATGAATGTTATCTGTAATTATTAGAAATACAGTTGACCCTTGAACAGCAAGGATTTGAACTGCAAAAGTCCACTTATGCATGGATTTTTTTCAATAGATACATGCAGTACTGTAAATATATTTTCTTTCTTAACATTTCTTTTCTCTCACCTATGTGGTTGTAAGAATACAGTATTAATATATTTAATACACAAAATATGTGTTAATCAGCTGTGTGTTTTTGATCAGGCTTCTAGTCAACAGTAGGCCATTAGTAGTTAAGTTTTGGGAGAGTATAAAGTTATATGTGGCTTTTTGACTGTGCAGGGGAATGGCCCCCCTTAAACCCAGTGCTATTCAAGGGCTGCAGTAAATAGAAGCAGATTGTTTCAGTCAAGAAAGGAACCAAATATCAAAATGACCTGGCTTGAGGTACTACATCTATAAAATTTATCCACCTAAGAAAACAAAGCAAATAAGTAGGAATTAGTATGCTGAATGACTATTCTAATATCTAATTAACGGATATCTGAGATAAATGCTCTAAAACTTTTTCAGGGGAACTTTACTATATGTACTAATATATGGGCCCTAAGGTTTAGGAAAAGTTCTAGAGCATATCTTTAACTCATAGTTCAAGCTAAACATGAAGAGGTAGTTTAGCAAAGAGTTAAATGCACAGATTGGAAGCATGACTGTATCTCAGTGTTGTTACTTAACTAGCCCTATAATCTCATGTGACATAATATTTGAGCATCACGTATTCATTTCTTGTCTAATTCACAGGGCTGATCTGAGTATTAGATGGTAGAAAGGTAAAGCAATTAGTATCATGTCTGGCACTTAAGAGTACCTAATATATACTAGATAAAATTAATGTATTAATATGCCACAGTATAAAATAATTTAATTCTCTCAATAATCTTACGAGGAAGATATATTAGGCAATATTATTTTCATGTTATGGATGAAAAACCATACATTAACAAAGATTAGGTAATATATAAATACCTAAAGGGTGTTTATAGATGAGAACGGACATAGGTAGGAATTAATTCAATTTTTTAACACTATATCTTTTATTCCTTTTTATTTCATTATGTTCCTTCCTATTAAGATTATGATAGATTTGGTTGTAAAATCCACACCTTTATTAACAAGTCTTTGTGGCTGATCTGTCTGGTCCTCTGAAACACAGTGTTTTCAATTTAAAAAAAAAAGTTTATGTTTATAACACACACACACACACACTCACACACACACACACATTTTCTACCATGAACTTTGTTTTGATTTTCAAATGTATTCATCCAGAAATAGAGGGATACATACCCTCCACTTTAACAATATACCTATTTCAACCATTTTTACTTGTGATAACTCTAGGAAATGAGGAGGTCAAGCATTTGTAGACCATTACAATTCAAGTTCTATTCCCTGGTTTTCAGTTGAAACAACACATAAACATTCTAACACAAGTCTGTGAGGAACTCTCTTCCAAGGGTATTAAGAGTTCACTTTCCTGACTCCCTGAAGGTTCAAGCTCATTATATTTAGACTAGATTCAAACCTTGGCTGAAAAACCAATGAGAACTGTGCTATATAATTACATAATTACATGGCAAAGTATAGTCAAAATGGTGTATTTAGATTTTAAAATAGACTAAGATCTATTCACAAAAAGCTGATGATACTAATAAATGTTTATCTGCTCAATGAAGACACTATGGTAATATTTTCCCAATATGTTCACTTCAGTAACCATATCAAAAGACCATCTTGAATATGTTCACAAAAATACCTTCAAACGAGAAATGACTTTTCTGTATCCTGAACTTAAAACAGAAACAAAACTTTTAGTGTAATGGAATCAATCAAAGTTTCATTAACAGAATATTAATAACTTGAAGTAAAAAAGATACAATTGACTACTTTATCTGATTAATTGTTTTCTTTGCCCTTCCATTTTTAAAAGAAGTTAGATTGAATAAGTTCCTGCTCAACTTTCAATTATTCAAGAACTTATCCACTTTGTGGATTATTCATTCTTGTTCTCTTTCCTGCTTCCTCCATTTGATCATTACACATCTCTGTCATTCTTGCAGAGGGTGTGCAGAAGAAGGGAAAGAGGAGAATTCCCAAATCAGTCAAATATGGATCTTTCCTGCTTAGCATGGGAGAATTTGAAAAATCACAGCTAAATTTAGATTTTAGTATATCTGGTTGTTTTTATTTGGACTATCTTATCTATTACTAATGCAGATGACTACCTCTTGATAGAATGATCTTAAATCTATAAATATAATATAGATTTCAACCTTATTTAGTTCTAAAAAAGATTATTGGTGTCAAAATAAAATAAAACTAAATTGTCATTAAAATTTTGGGTTAGACTTTAAGTTAGTTTTAAGTTGATATTAAAGAATGAAAGCAAATGTTTTTCCCATGCAATAGATAAGTACAGAGTCCAAGCAAAGCAAATAATTGTCATTATCAAACATACAGCCTAACAATAACAATAGCAACATTGATCCTTATGATCATAAATGAAAGCCAAGCTGGAATGTGACATTTTTATAACATATAAACCATTTTTAACTTTAATTTTCTGAATATATTTAATGTTATAATTTTTACCTGTCCTCATTCACTCCCTCACCTAAATCCTCAATATAAATATCGAAAAAACACATTTAAATTCTATCATCTGCATGAAAATTTATTCAACTATTTTAGTCCATGTCACCCTCTCCTCTTAATACCTAGTATTTTAGATTATACTATGTCTGAAATTAAATATCACTAAGAAGTGAGACATAGTACTTCTTTACAAGTTGAGGAGTCACTGCTTTACCATTTTATTATATATAGTTTTCTGATATTTGACTCACTAACTGTGATTATAATGTCCCTGAGAGAAAAGGGCCATTCATATATTTGACAAATATTTGAGTATCTGTTAGGAACTATACTAAACATTGGGGACATAGCATGATAAAAATGGATACATTCTCTTCATTTGCAGAGC